AGGAAAAGGTTTCTTAGTCATTTTTTATTCAATGCAAATTTCCCATTTATCATTGCAATCATCACTACGAAAAATAAAACCATGCTTTGACATATACTTTAAAGACCTAAAATTTAAATGTGTTAAACATGCATGCCAAATAGAAGAAGAACAAACAATATAAGCAGAATGACTTATTTTATTAATATTTAGTTTAAACATTTCATCACAAGCATAACCCTTCCCAACAAAAATTCCGTTCTTAGACATAATTAACTTATCAGTCTCTAAAACAGCTTTAATGCAACTCTTACATAATAAATTTGCAGATACAAGATTATTTCTAATTTATGGGACATAAAGAACATTCTGCAATGTCAACTTCTTTCCTAAAGTAAACTGAATTTCAACATTCCTTTTTCCTAAAACTTTGGAAGAGTTGTGATTTCCCATCAGAACTTCTTGATCATCCACAAATTCATAAGTCTTGTAATGTAATTTATTATTACAAATATGGATAGTAGCCCCAGAATCAAGCCACCAATCTGAAGACTTAGTTGATGTTGCTATGAGTTTTCATGCCAATTTGCATTGCAGACACCATAGCAACAAGATCAGAAATCTTTTCTTCCATTACATTAGCGCTATTTGAATTGTTGGTAACTCTTGCTTTTCATACTTTTTATATCTGCGATTACGAATAAAATGTCCTTTTTTTCAATAATGGAAACATGGTCCAGGACGCTTTTTATTCTTATAAGGATGATTCCTTTTGAAAGTCCCTTTATTTTGCAACTTGAGACTTTTCTGATATTTATTTGATTTGCCTCCATCCACATAATTTACTTTGAAATAATCTTCAACATAGTATTTCTTATCACGAATTCGAGTTTCTTCTTCAATTCGCAAATGCTTATGTATTTCTTTCAAAGTAAATTCTTCTATCTTATATAGAAGTTTCTTTCTATAATCATTCCAATTAGGAAGCAACTTTGAAATGATAGCCTCCACTTGGAAGGATTATGGAAGTACAATTTCATTTCAAGAAACTTTGTGACTAGAACTTGCAATTCATGAACTTGAACTAAAACTGAGAAATTATCAACCATTGAGAATTCAAAGTACTTAAATATTAAAAATTTATCTGCACCTAGTTTCTGTTTTGTACTTGATTTCTAAAGCATTCCAAATTTCCCGAGGAGACTTCATAGGAGTATAGAGATCGTAGAGTCGGTCTGAAAGTGTGTTCGGAATGTGACCTCTGCAAACCAATTCATCTTCCTCTCGTTTCTTCCTATCTCCAATCATTTTTTTTATTGGCTCTGATGGTTGGAGATTTGGATCCAAAACATATAAGATTTTAAGAACAGTTAGTAGGAACATTAATTAATCCTTCCAACAGGTAAAGTTAAATCCATCAAATTGATCTAATTAACTTCACAAAGTCTTGATTCACAACATTGAACGTAGTGTTGTGTGATATAGTCTCCATCTAAATAACATTTTAAGATTGTTGAAACAACTGACGTAGAAACTAATGTCGACTACGTTGTTGGAGATGGCCAGGCATTCTCAAGTGTGATGATAATGAAACACTTATGTCAACTTCTTCAACATGAAAACTCCCGGATACAACTCGGTAAAATTGTTATGACTAGATAGAAGAAAGATAATATAAAAGAGTGAATACAGAATGTGCTGTAGACTTCCAAAATGTACAAACCAGAAGTCACGTATCATCTAAATGGTTGCAACCTATTCAAAAGGTGCAAACCAAAAGTCACGTAACATCTTCAACAGCCACCTTCTAGAAGCATGGTAGTTATTATCAGATCAAAATTAATAGTTCTAATTATTCAGATCAAAATTAATAAACACATTCTAAAAGCATGCATGGTGGAATTTTTTCCTTCCTTTATTATATATATATATATATATATATTGGAAATGTGTAAAAATGCCCCCCTAAAATTTCTCAATCCCCTGTATGCTTATATATGTTTCCTTAAAAAAATTTCTTAGATTGTTTCATTAAAATTTCTCTATATTTCTTAAATTTCTTAATTTACAACTCAAAAATATCAATCTTTCTATATATATATATACTCCATAAATATTAATTTATATGTTCTTTTTTTTTTTTTTATAAAAAAAAAAAAGTGTTAAAAGTTAAATTAGTAGATGTCCAACAAAAATTTCTCGATCGGCACTTACCTCTTACTTTATTTAAATTGTATTAATAAATCTTGTGAAGTATTACCATATATATATATATATATATATATATATATATATATAAAAGTGCCAAATATCCCTACTATAGTGAAAGGAATCCTTTTAAGGGGAAAATTATTAAATACCCCCAACCCTTGGATGTGGTGGTGGACCCCACCACATCCATAATCCAATGGCCCTCACTACCCCGGGGTACCATACCCCGGGTACTCAATAACTGCTCCTTTTAAGGGCCTTTGAGGTTCAAGCATTGTACTTACAGAGGTCTTGCTTTGAAAACTGTACTTGTCAGCCTCCTTTTCTTGATGTACGAGTGTCCTGGTGTCATAGTCATAATAGCAACCCCCTTAACTGGGTGCTTCCGCATCGCATCCCGTAAGCTTTATTGAGCAACTCATCAGGATGGAGCTATATATATATATATATATATATCGGTACAAAAAATATTCAATTGGCCAATTCAATAAAACAATTGAAACCCATGAAAGCAATTTATTTCTCTCATGGTCCTTGGATTTCGAGAGTGAATGGGAGAGTTTCTCAATTTAATATTTGAGTGATAGTTGAAGAATTCAAACTAATTAATTATTACGTAATTTTACTATTAAAATGTCTCTATCAGTAGTGGAGAAGCAGGTGGTCACTATTAAAAGGTCTTAATCAATTATCCAACGCCATTTCCCGTGGTCATGCTTCTCATCACTTCTTCCACTACTCACTATTCTTTGCATGCTTCTCAGGCAACCTCTCACGCCTAGTTAGTGCGCCCTTCGTGGCTTTGTCTCCCTTACGTGCTCAAGATGCCATTAGTAAGTTTACTACGCAACTTCCTACGAGCGTTTGTAGTTTAGTGATATTTTCTTTGATTTTATAATTGAAAGTTAGAAAGTTCGATCACCACATTATAAAAATTAATTATCAAAACAAAAGGATAAATTTTTAGAAAGAGTATGCATAAAAATAAAGCAGATGTGTGAGGGAAAAAAAAAATGAATAATCAAATAAGATTGTCAATTTGCTTCTCCTAAAAAATAATAATAAATAAATAAATATAACTTAATTCTATTAGGTTTATAGTAGTAAGAATGAAGAACGAGAAAAATAAAAAGAATAGAGGAGAAATTTTTAAGAAGAGGATAACGTCATTCCTCTTCGGGTTGTGATATAGAGTCGAAGATTAAATTTATGTGAATATAAAATAATGTCACGATGATATTGTCATATTTAATAATGTCACGATAACATCTCACACTTATAAAAAAGAAGAGACGCGTTTGTTATAACAGAAATGAGGAGAGATATTACTAATTTTGAAATTATCTAATAATTATAAAGAATACTATTGTAATTTAAATTTCTACCATAGTCTTACTTCTTTTCCACTCTACCGTCCAAATTTGTATGAATGAATATTTTCCTTTCTTCCTTATTTCCTCTCTATCGTATGAAAGAATCTTCTTTTCTATCTTCTCTTCACCTCGTGATCAAATAAGTATCTCTTCCTTGCAAAGTAAAAACGTGAAATGTGGGCATATAATTACAAACACATGGACTTATTGGCTCCATTGATATGAAGGACAAAGTCTGCCCTTTTTTGTTTTTTATTTGTGAAAAAAGGTAAAATTATTGCCCTTTCCACACGAACTAAAGCTTCGATCGTTGACTTTGGAAGAAGATAATCGTAATCCTATCTTAATAGAAACATAACATATTAATATTTCTCTACAACTTTTGTGCCTTAATTTTATTCCTTTCGCACATCATAATGCACCTCTCCAAAAGCATATTTGGCCGCGCCTTTCAACCATTGGTTCGTTACATATGAAGTTATAAACTTTGTACCTAGGTGATTATTTAATTAGACTTTATTATTGAATTTTTATTTTACTTTTAATTAGATGCTTATGGTTAAAAAAAAAACCGAACTTCAAAGTCTATTAATAGGGAGTCTAATGGTGGATGTTAATATATGAAAAATCTCTCTTTCTATCTCCACCTTCCTCCAGTTTGTTGTACTGTATTTTCCATGTTGTGTTTGGTACAATTTTGTGACTGGTACATCCTAACTTTATTTGAACGCCGCCATACAATTCGTGTGCTTGTAACAAGGCTATTTTTTGGTTCAAGTCCGTGAATTTTATTTTATTTTATTTTATTTTTTTTGCTCGCGAACTAGAAGAAGGGGACTCGGACACACTCACTAGGAGAACTGGGCGCTCTACCAACTTAGCCACTAAATAATGCCCGTTCAAGTCCATGAAATGGCTAGAGTAGAAATTAGAAGCTCATTTGCATTCCAATATGTGTGTGTGTGTGTGTGTGCGTGATATATGCTGGTGACAAGTCTCCTTTTTGGTTCAGGCCCATGAACGGCCAGAGTAGAAATTAGAACCTCATTTGTATTCCAAACTGTAACATGTTTCTGCTTCAAATATCCACAAATGGTTCCAAGCGACAAAGCATAGAATTAGCTTCCTGCCAGACTCCATGAATCTAATACAAACCCACAAAGTAGAACAAATAATTCATCCATTAATGTATGAAACATATGGCAAATAATTCCCAAAAAAAAATAAAAAATAAAAATCATCAAACCCAAAACATTTTGCCGAATGGATCATATGAGTTCATATTCATATGCGACATTTGCACCTCATGTACTGCTACAACAGTTCACATGAATTTCTATGACATATCAAGACATAAGTAGTGATTCATTTGCATCAGTTGGGACAATCTAAGAGCCCTTACCAAACAAGCACATATCTGGTTTCGCGAAAATTGGATTGTTACAAATACGAATCATATATCAATAACTTAGTATCCATCATAATTTCAATTTTACATCTGCATACCAAACACGTACCGATTACCAACAATGCAAGTTGTTATTGCTTCATCAATCTCGTTAATGAATATAAAAAAAGGCTTTCAATATGGTCATTGTGCTTGTGCAAGTGATCTTGGAACTCTCATACCAAATCCATGTTTTGCCTTCTCAACCCTGTTCAATACTCAATAGTCAGTAATGCACCGGAATGAAAATCAAATTAGTGATTGTGGGCATTAGGCAATAACAGACTTGAAATAGGAATCATCAAATAGTTCCAACTAAAAACTTTTACGATTTCAACCCATGAATATAGAATCATTGTCATAACTGAACCATCAGAATGGTAGCCATATAAATGCATGTCAATAAATAAGAAACTTATACATGAATATTTTCGTCAAATCAAGGATGGTCTCTAATGTTAGTGTTTGAGAGATAAAAAGAAAACAACATTAAATCTGGCATTTTAAGTATCTGCATCCTTTTCTCTGATCAAAGAAGACATTGATGATGCAACAGATGTTTACTAATTTGAACTTGCCTGCAACATTACATATCGACTAGAATGTGAGATTCAGGTGCCTATGAATTGCAGAATTGGCATTGGCATACATTGATATTAACAATTTACAGCTGTATTAACCCTAACATTTAGAATTTAAAATAAATTATTTTTCCGAAATAAATTATAAAAAAAAAAAAGTCGTATAAAAGTTGATGGCAAGAGTACATCTTAACTGTACTCTGAAGAACTAACCTGTTCATGAGCAGCTCAGGTCATGTTCATTAAGAAATCCTTTCATGCTCGTTCAGAGCTTGAATATATGTTCCAAGCTTTTGTTGTTTAATTGGCTTAACTTGATTATTAAAAAAAAAAATTAAGCATGGCTTATTTGAGTATATTCTAAATTCATAATCATTTATACACATTCATTGTTTTAAAAGTGATAATACGGACTTTATATCAAGCTCAGTAAATTTGTGAGAAATCTCAAGTCTGGCAAAATATATATATATAAATATATATATATATATATAAAACAAGCTTGAACATGATATTTATGTTTGGGTCAGAACTCGGGAACAACTCAAACTTGTAAATTTTTTTAATGAAACATGCTTCGAAAAACCCAATGCTCGATTCATTTCAATTCATTTGTGGCCAAATCCCAATACTCGATTCACTTCAATTCGATTGTGGCCATACCAGTTGAGCAATAAAATAAATTTTCTTATATAAATCTACTAAAGGAAAAACAATGATGGTAAAGTAAAAATCATTTCATATAATGTCCTAATTACAAATACTCATTGACCCACTTTTCCTTTTGTTTTTCCCCTCCCACGGGGATGGGATATCTATTTACCTTAAAAGTAGCATTCTAGGATGTCAATAGCATTGTGACAAAATAAGACGACGGGTTTTGGATGGAACTAACAAATCACAAAAACTATAATGATTAAGATTTTCAGACTACAAAATTCATAGTGTAAAAGACAAAAATTGAGCAAAACTAGTTAACAAAAATATCAACATCACCAATTTATCCAAAATTTCCAAAAAGTTTTGACATAAGCTGGCGCCTGGCAGTGGAAGTTAAAGTACATTCTTATCTTCCAAGAATTACAATACTATATTAAGAGAAAATAATGTTTCTTAGCAAAGTGACCCATCAATCCACAGGCACACATGCAGACAGACACAGAGGTGATAACATGATACAAGGTGTATGAACACAGAGCTTCCAGATGTCCACTGACCTAATTTTTAACTAGGCATGTGAAAAGTCTGCCCATCCTAGCAAAAAGAGTCATGTATAATGTGCAAGTATTGAGCCCACACAAATATGATAGTAAAACAATAAGATAAAACTTTAACTGCTATGCAAACATGCAGAATTTGAAAAATAAAATTAATAAGAACATCAATCTGTAGCAGGGAGAAGAGAACTTACGTTGGGGCAAGTTTGCCGAGGCCCTTTAGTTCTTCATTGGTATCCTCATCCAAAACTTTTCCAGTAATCTCAATGATATAAGACTTATCTCTTGTGGTTGGCAGACCTCTGCCAGCAAGTAAATCCAAATCTTTCTGGTTAAGTTCTCGCCCGTTTACAAAAATATTTGTGTTTCCAGCAGCACAATTCTCTTTCATGGGATAATTGAATTCTTCAATGAATGGCTGCAAAAATGTAAGGCAACGTCATTGATATAATTAATAACATGAACTCCGTCATCAAACAAAAAGAGTAGTATGTCTCAAATCATCAATTAATCTCACGGGAATTATGCCAAGGCAAGGGTGACCCATCACACCCCAAAATCCAGCTTGGGGATCATACCTGGTGGTCAGGCAGAAAGAGTACAAGAACACCTATTAGCATCTCAGGTTAAAACTACAAAATGCCACACCAACAAAAATAACTGTGCATACAGGATATTATCTCAAATCATTGTAATGAACATCCTTCAGTTAACATATATGATAACAATTTTTCAGAGTATAACATGTACGATAAACACAGGAAAAACACTATTACTGATAATGCGGAGAAAACCAAAAGTCGTTCTTCCTTTTATGTTCTTTAAATTTTCCAGCTACTTCTACCACGACAATGAAACATAATATGCACATTCCATGTAGATATTAGCATTCTTGTGTAATCTATATCGCACAGTATTCGCAGTGTATACTGAAGATCGAGGAATGGAAATTCAGAAGCAAATATAATGCACTAGATATCTGATGTGATCATACATGTACATACCAGTAGGCTCCTGGCAGAATATCCCCAGCTAGCTTTTCAGCCTTTCTAACTACACAATCCGGTATAGGTTGCCCATTAACAAAAACATCTGATCTTCCATCCTCCGCAGTTCGACTAGATCTTGATTCACTCCCCTTATTGATCCCAGGTCGATCTTTTCTTGACTCCACAGAGTCTTGAGAAACACTGCTATGTAAATATTCAATAGAAACATCCATCACAGTTGCCATTGATACATCTTTTACAGAATTATCTTGAGAGGTGCTTCTATCAAGGATAACCTTCTCTTGATCATAACGTTTACTCTTGTTGCCCTTCCCATTACTGCCTATCACATTTTTGGAAGAAGGATAATAAGGATGTTCATGGAGAGAAGACTCGGAGGTGATTCTATCAAGGATAACCTTCTCTTGATCATTACGTTTACTCTTGTTGCCATTCCCATTACTGCTTATCACATTATTGGAAGAAGAATAATCAGGATGTTCATGGAGAGGAGAATCTGGAAGTGGCAAAGAAGCATCGTCTTTTGACAGTGACTCAGCCGGGTTAGAAACCTCTTGCTGAACAATCACATTATCTGGGTTTTGCTCATCCTTCAAAAAACTGGAAGACGAAGAAAGGGGGTCCTGTCTCTTATCAGATCCACTGAAATTTGACCTCTGGTCTCTTGACAACAAATTGGGTTCCATTACTTCAGTATCTGTCAACAGGATAGAATTTGAACTGTCATAATCGTCAGAGCAAGAGTCTGAGGCACCAGTATTTGAACAACCATGAGAACATCGAAGATTTTCATTCAACTTCTCACCAGAGCCATCATCAACCTCAGTGGAAACTTGTTTGATTTGTGAGGGAATTAAAACAACAAGCCCCCTTTTCTCAAGCTCAAATGAGATTCTGGTAGAACAGGCTCCACATCTGACCATCTGTTGATTCTTTCCCATCGCCATAAGTCTTTTTGGAAGTTTCAGCAACTCAAAGCAATTATAGCATGTAATAAATGGGGCACCACCTGCTATGGGATGGCAAACCCGTCCATTTCCATTGGCTACCACCACCCTTCTTGGATGGCGGTAACCATAACCATCAACATCTGAATCAAGGTCAATTGGGTTTCTGGCCTTAGGCTGGTGGTCCCGAGAATGGAGTTGAGGATGACTGGGACCTCTAGAATTATGTCCCTCTGAATCATATGTAGGAGTACTGAAACGATGGTTGAAAATTGGATTGGTAGGGCCATTCAGTGACCATCTAATACCAAAATTGGGAGGTGGGACTTTTTGAGGGTGTTGCCAATTCTGGTTGTAGCAGTGGGAACAAAAGCATGCAGGTTGATGGAAGAAGGTTTCATATTGGTGTGATGGATGGGTACCCTGATCCAAATCCATATATTGTCCAGGAAAGTGATCTTGATAAGGTTGATGTGGAGGTCTCTTGAGAACGGGTGGCAGATAGGGATCCTCGTATCCCAGAAACTCATTTTGGACATTCCTGGGAGGAGGATAGAAGTCTTGCTTATCCAAACCAAGAGTATTGGGGTGAGGAATAGGTCCATGACCATGATTGAAATAAGGATGCTTAGGAACATGTTTATCATGGGCAAAGGGTTGCATATTAGCACTGTACAAACTGCTTGGGCCCTCAGGCATATAAGCATCATGCCTGCCATAACGATCGAGTGGAAGCGGAGGCGGAGCCATCCTCCTATCAACAAGAACCCTCTCCCTCGGTTTCTCTGCCACGTCGCAGGATCTGTTAAGTTGATCCTTCAACTTATCGAGCTTCCTCAGGAGCTCAGCTCGGTCATTTTCTAAATTCTCAACTCTACTAGCCCCTTCAAATTCATTGTGTAGCCTGTTCTGCTTGCCATACCCATGAAAATAACTAGGGGGATAGTTTGAAGGCCCCTCTTCTGGATAAGGAGAAGTCAAAAACCTCCCCTGCTCTGCATCAGCTCTGGCACTCCTATGAAAGGGCACAGATCCATTTCTCCCCACACTTGGCTCGCCCATAATAGGCCTTGATCTCGATGACCCGACCAAATCCCCAACTGGGTGTCTGATTTCTTCGAGTCCGTTGTCCACACTTGAATTAACAAATCCAGGCCTCCTCTTGTTCATGTCATGATCATTTCCATGAACCCAATTACTAATTGGACCTTTTAAAGATTGCCTATATTGATCCTCATAATAACAAACTTCCCTATCTTCTTTACTTATATCAAGCCTCAAGTTCAAGGTTTCTTTTATCATATTTCGGTCCAGACCATTCCCGTCCTCTCTACGTTCTATTGATGATGAAGAACTACTCATCAAATTAACTGTTCTCTCCGAAAAAACTCTCCTTTTTTCCCTACCAACTTCTACCCCTTCACTTTCAGTTTCAGAGGCACCACCTAAATTAACAAAAACCCCTTTCTCAGAACCCACTCTACCACTCATCGTTGGATTTCTCAGACAACCAAATCACTGAAAGGCCCCTTCTTCTTTGCTGCAGTATCAAAAAATCATAATACAAACTCTTAAATTATTGAAATAGAACATACATAAACATGAACAAGCGCCTATACACACACCAACACATGTATATATAGGAGTTTATGTATTGAAAATCATAATACAAACTCTCAAATTATTGAAATAGAACATACATAAACATGAACAAGCGCCTATACACGCACAAACACACGTATATATTAGGTGTTTATGTATTCATTTACATGAATATATGTATGTATTTTCATATCCATAAACATAAATATATAGAGAGAGAGAGTAACAGAAGCATACCTCAAAAAACAGCTCCACAACCACTGCACTGACAGAGTAGTGAAGGAAAGGATTTCGCCCTTAGGGCAACGAACTAACCGAACTTTGTATCCTTCCTCAGTCTACAAACCTTCAAATTCAAACACAAAGCAGCCATAATATACACCAAAGTCAATCAAATTTCATATAATCTCAAGAAAAAAATCAACAAACTTCTCCAATTACAATACAAACCTTGAACACCAAATCAAAATTGAACAATAAATCACTTTGGAAAACCCCAAATCAAAATTGAACATTCAATGCATTTCTACTGAGCTTGTTTGTGCTGGTTTTTGACAGTCGCGTTTTTCTCGCCATTGAAACAATACAAAAGTGAGAATCTGCAAAGTTTTTATGAGTGAAAATATATATATATATATATATATATATTTATTTATATCTACGTGTGTTTTCTAGAGAGAGAATAAAATGAAATTGGTGTGTGTGTGTGTGAGAGAGAGAGAGAGACAGAATTTGCAATTCCGGATAAGAAGAAAAGGAGTCTGGAGGGAAGGGAATGAATTGGTCCGATCTCCGGAGTTTTATTTAATTATAATGAAAATAGATTGAAAAGTCAGCATATTTACGCTAGGAATTGATCAAAGAATATATAGTAGACGACGTCGTAATAGCTTTGTGCAGCATTTTTACGCCTGACAATCATTTTTTTTTTTGTTTTTTTTTTTTTTTGGTAATTCAAATTTTTTTTTTTTTTACTGCGTGACAATCATATCCTAAAGTGGTCAATTAATATGATGTTGTATTTAGATTACATTTATACCCCCAAAAGCTGAAAATTCCAAATCCATAATTTTTCTTTTTAAAAAACAAAGCCATTGTTTTCTCACTTTTTCTTTTGTTAATTTCAATGGATTACCGGCTTTTTTCTTCTTCTTTTTTTCAGAATTTTGGATAACAGACTTTTGCAGTGAGCTTGGTTGATCTGAAATGAAAAAATATAATAAAATATTACTACTAATTAGTATGCAAAAGAAAAGAAAGTGTAGTATATAGTATTATTTCTCTCCTTCCAATTAAGAAACTAGTTTAATGATAATAATAGCATCCATTTGGCTTTTGAATTAGAAATATTATAATAATAATAATAATATATTGGATATATTTTTTTCTTGGTCCCTACAAATAATTTTCACTATATACTTTTGACTTGTAAAAACAGAATAGGTACCAATAAACCAGAAGTTTTATTGGAGTTGAAATGAAAAAATAAAAATTCGATTATGATATAAATATGCATATAAAAAGGATAATGAATAATTTCGTAATCATTTTTCTTTATTTTCCTTTCATTAATTATTAAAAAAATAACAAGATTAATACTACTAAAACTCGATTTAGTATGTACCATGTATACCTTTCAAACTAAATGATTGAATAACAAGTATTTAAAAAATAAAAAATAATAATAAAAAAAGAAGGATGTGTCTTATTTGTCGCGATAAATAAATAAATAAATAAACAAACATGAAAAAACTTTCTATCATTTTCAACTTTTACCTACCCTTTTTTTTTAATACACAAATATGATATAATATTATCATCCTTTAATGTTGGTTTCTTTACTTTTGTCAATTCAAACGACCCATCATAAATAAGTAAGAAAGTCTATAATAATAAAATATAGAGTTTTAAATCTTAATTAATAAATGAAACTTTAATAAACAATTATTTTAACTAATTACCAAAAATATTTATTTATATATATGTGTGTGTGTGTGTGTACGCAAAACCTAAATAGGCCAGGGAATGATTGACTAAATGATTAAATTTTACACAAAGGTCTGGTGGGCCTCAAAGTCCTTCCACTCGATGGGTATTACTTGTAACATCATTTTCCAAGTTTTTAATGAGAAAACCTTCTGATCCACACAACTAAGTTGATACTATTATATTGACTAATGAATACCAAATAGTACTCATTTTTTTTTGGTGTGTTCTGACTTCTTCAATAAACTAACATTTTATTATTATTATTATTAGATAATGGGAGATGGGACACATGGTCAACTATACTCGTTGGTGCATGACTATTTTCATTGGGGGTATGCTTATTTATATGTATGTATTTTTTACTTTTCTTAGAATTTTTAAATTTAAAATAAACGGAAATGTTGATTGGTGAATAGTGAATACTGAAAAGGTCTTATGATTTAGATTTGTATTAATTGGTAGTTATATATACGTTTTTAGAATTTTATTACGAATACAGGTGATGTTGAACATTTCTAAACTGAAATATATATATATATATATATATATATCAATCAATTTTTGTTACCAGTTAATACAGAGAGACCATATTCTAATTATCAAATACTCCGTATTAACAAGTCATTGTTATATATTACTCCATGTTTGTTAAAGTCGCATAAATTACCTATCAGTTTTGAACTCCAATCAAATACATTCTCTATCACTTTTTTGTTTTTGGTAAGTTTTCCATGACCTTACTTGAACTTAGTTTTGCACTCACAAGAGATACCCCTCAAATTAAACAGTTGATACTGTGACATTTGTTTACACCCAAATTGAACATTTGGTCCACCGAGGCATGACGTCACAAAGAATGGGTAAATTAGGACAGTAAAAAAGTAGAAAAAAGCGGGCCGAACCTCACTCCAAGCCAAGTCAGCAGCCATCGTGACCATGCCCAAATCCATGACCACAACAAGCAAACTCAACAATAATCTCCACCGGCATGGCTATCTCGGTTGTGCACGAATAACACCAAAGTAAAGGAAGTGAGTTAACTTTTCTTATCCAATCACCAAACAAACCCTCTAGCAATTAAAATAAGGCAAAAAGGGCACTTGAGTACCTAACAGTGAGACAGAGGTTTAGACCGTCACATTAAGCATGGATGAACCCAACAGGTCATATACATGTAAGTCAGAGGATGGTGTGTCACGTGCGACGATGGCTTTCTCATTTCAACTTTATCACGGTCATTTATGTCGTAAAAATCGATCTAACTGTGAACCTCATTTCTCTACTGCTATAAATAGAACTCATTTATGATAAGAAAAAGGTTCTTCAAATTGTATCTTCGGCCTTAGGTCTTCTATGGTTGGCTCTTACAACTTCACTTTACATTCCAATGGAATATAGGCTTGCATTTCCTTCCACTTGCATGTTTTCGTAGTGTTGCTTATAACCTAGAGTTTAGTTTACTTGTTCTTAAATGCTTTCATAGTGAGTTCTTCACCTAGGTTTACTTTAAAGTTTGTTCTTTAGTCAATGGTTCAACTCTTGAACCCTCTAGCATGTAACTAGGGTCCTATCTAATGTACCAATTAAGGACTTGTGATTGATCTGTATTGCTCAAAGTAACCAAGAAAATGTTACGTCTTTCTTAAAATGTTCCTTGGCTTTGCTAGCTTATTTTTTATGATTTCAATATCTAAAATTACTTCAATTTTAACGGAGTCCTTTAGTTAGGAATAAATTATGAATCATTGAGAAGATCATTTCGTACCCTCCACAATCACCTGTGAGATAAGCCAGCCACACACACGATCACCAGTGGCTGCAAACAAATATGTAAGACCGAGAATAAAGATCTAACGATCCTAGCACGAACGCACAAGGTGAGAAATTACGAGGCTACTTTTGACTTTTGAGAGAAAGCTTGTAGCCAAACAATATTACACTATATATGATTAATATGAGAGAAACGTGTTCTTTTTCTTTCCCTCCCCTTATTTGTAAGATAGCTAGGCACAAGTAGTAGATCCTAGCCTCCTAAGATCCCTCAAGAGTAATATAAATCTGTTGCCAAGAGTAAAAAGAAGGCTATATATATATATATATACACACACACACATACATTCATGAACAATTCGGATTTGTTGAATCAAATAAATATTTGTGTTAGTGTGAAATCATTTATTTCTTTTTGGTAACGTTGAAAAGCATATCACCAAGCCAGTCATAATATAACGACAGATGGAAGAAGAATATTTGGAAAAAGACATAGTGTTACACCACCATAAATATAGAATATAACATTTCTGGTAGGTTTGATCACTTCGTTTCATATGTATTACTTTTCTGCTAGGGTTTGATGGACAAGCGAGTAAGCTCAGCAGAGGTAGGTCCACGCGGGCATTTGCATTAAATTGGTGATAAATGTGTTGACATTATAGTTTCATTTTCTAACTATTTAGGGGGTTGAGTGATTAAGCCCTAATAGACAACATCATGAATAGTGTGTACACGTTTGTTTGAGCTGTTAGGGACCCAAAAACCACAAACAAAAATAAATTCCCACCAAGAAGCTTTGCTCGGCAGATGCACCTAAAGAATAATTCGTTGTAGTGTGAATTTGGTGAATATTAGTAGATCAGGGTTTCTTAGAATTAATTTATAAATGTCCAACCTGTGGGCTAGAAGTTTCAAAAAGCCAAACTGAACGGCCCAGTGCCTCAAGAGTGGGCCATTACATTCTAATCAACACACATACATTTATACACACACAAAAGCCCCCCCCGCGCGCACATATATATATATAATATGATACTAGAAATGCCCGTGAAGTCAAGCTTTCAAACAATTGAAGGCGGCTAGACCATACATATATCACATGCAATCAACTGGAAGAAACCAGGGCACTTGATCCACACATGTGAAAAGACTATCATAAAGAATAATTCAAAACTGAAATAAAAACTGGAAATGCATATAGAACACCAAACCGGTCACGCGATACTTGAACAAAGGAAAAGTTGAAATTTCTAGAAAGCAACTAAAATGCATCCAAGAGTATGTTTCTTGACACATCATTATTGGTAGTGTATATGAATGAGAAAGCTAAAAGCTAAGCGGATGGAGAAAGATAAAAGGTACAGATTGGTCGGAAAATATCAACATGGACTAGAACTGAGTTTCTAAGCCTCCTCGTAATCTGACAAAAAAAATACTTCCGTGCCATTTTACCTTTCTCCATTCCAAAATCAGCACGAAGTCCAACAAATAACCTGAACTTCCTTCTCCTTTCAGTCGGATATCCTCATCTCAACTCCAAGAATGTCCTTCACCACCTCGTACGTCACAAATGCGATTGCAATGGATGGCACCACCTGAAACAAATGGCAATTCTTGCATTAATATAGTTTTGTACTACACGCGCGCGCGGTAATATTCAGTTGCTCCCTGGTGCAGAGGAAGTAACATGCACAAAATAGATATGGTCTGTCAAATGTATTCATGTGGCTATTATGTAAAGATGCTCTATACATACCTCCTGGTATTCAGGAGGGGTAGAAAGTAACAATAAATGCCAAAAAACACACCGACTCACTTTCATCTTCTTAATCCATACAATCTATTATGTAACCCGCAACATCCGATCAAAATTTGAAAATTGAATGGAATGATAGCCTTCACCACAAATCTAATTACATCATTCTCTCAAAAATGCAAATTAAGATTCTGGTGTTCCTAAAAATCTCTTCAACCACTCATCAAAGCATTCATCATAATTAATAAATCCAACTTCAGTGAGAGATAACATCATGCTATCCTATGTATCTTTATCTTTATCAGTCTTATATTGATGAAGATGAAAATCAAGACCCAAAACCCTAGAAGTCTGGGTAACTGGTTTTCTCAGAATAAAAAACTCTCAATCAAAAAATCTTTTAGGGGATAATGTTTGCACAAACAATGGATTGATTAGCAAATCTGGTTAACTGGTAACCCCCAAACGAGATTGATTCTTCTCAACGAAACAATCCAGGCTAAGGCTTTTGATGCGCAAGAGACACAGAAAAAAAGAGCCCCATACTAGCCAGCCATGGATTTCAATTGTTTCTTAATTTTTTTTTTTTTTTTTCCCCTTCCGTGAAGAATTGGTAAATTTTTTATGTATATTCTCTCAGAGAAAAAGACGGTGGTCTGAAAAAGGAACTGGAACCTCTCTGTACAGCACGTGTCTACAAAAATGAGACTGACCAGAAACTAACATAATTGACTGGTCGGCTTTTTACCTATTTCTAAAACCAAATTGCGTAAAGCAAGTTTACATAATAGGCTAATAGCCATACTGTTATGACAAAAGCGAACTCTAGCAACAATCACAAAACACGACAAAAAGTAAACATACCACACACAAAGAACACAAAGATTTTAGCATGGTCCAGCAAAGCCTACACCAAAGCTTTCACTATGCGAAAAACAGGAGATTACAAGTTTCAGCCCCCAAACCCTAGCTCTCACTCTCACTCTCTTTTCTGTGATTTTCAGTCTCTCTCAATGTCCCACTCCAAACCCTAAACGCCCTTGTATATCGGACTACAAGAGAGTACTAAATAGGGTCCACAACCCGCAAGCAAAAACGGGTCAAATTTTGCTAGGCGTAGACCCACACAAAGCTCATTCAACAGGTCGGGTCGCAAGGCACCCCTGAATCAACTTCGGTCCACATCACACATACAATGACATTCAAATGGACAGGATATATTTTGTGCATGTTGCTCCCTCCGGACCAGGGAGCAACTAAAAATTAGTTTATGTATATTGCAGTATAAATGTAATGCAACCTTATAATCTCCATCATAAATGAAACACTAATTATTTACCAGATATTAAAAATGAAAAAGCTCAACAGTAGATAAATATTGCCAAATACAAATGTATGGAAATATAGAATGCAACATTCCTTCAAACAAAGTAAAACAATGTGTGCATTCTATATCAAAAGCTGACAATCTTGAGAGTAAGAAATAATACTAACCTTAACTGAATTGGGGACCAAACCCTTGTACAAAGCTCCAAATCCTTCATACCGAACGGTTTTCCTGAATGCATCAACCATACCAGTATATTCAAGTGGCACCTTGCTCTTCCCATCACCAGTGACAACTGAAGCAGCACCTTTCCAGCCCACCATCTGCATTCTTCGACGGATGACATCAAGAGGGTAAGCAACTGTCTGGCCAACTGTTCCAGCAGCGGCCCCACATGCAAGCTTTGTCGTGACACTCAACTCAGCGTCTTCAACTAGTCCAAATGGTCTAGATTTGATCAACCAGTCTTTTAAAGATTCATAGACGGCAAAGTTGAGACCCACGTATGGTATCTACAAACACAATAATATATTATTTAGGCCTCCACACAAATGAGAATACAACTTCATCTTCCCATTCTTACGGTATGAAAATAAACAACAAAAAGGTGAGAGTTGAAATCGATAATTTGTTTCCGATTCTTATCAATAATTAATTTTATCATTTTTACCAAATGACAAATGTGAACCTCTTTTGCAACATTCTATCTGCAGATGGTAAAACTTAACTCTGTCCACCCATCATAACACAAAGTTGGATAGATCATTCACTAACCAAAAAGTAGAGAACTGAACATAAAACTGGGTCACTCTAATGAACCATCACACACACTGCAAAAGTGTAAGACGTTAACATATAGAGTTTCCTTCATCCTAGCCATTTCACAGTTTTTTTATTTTTGACAAGGATTTTCAACATTGTAAAGATGTTCCACACCTCATCAGTTTCTGACTCATATGTCCTGTACGTACATGTTAGTTAAGGGTGCAAGTGCAACAGTCGCACACATTTGCTCAACTACACACATGCATAGTTATTGTGACAAAGGAATTAACAGTAAAATGGTTGACTGGTTGACTAGAAAAGAAAATTTCTAAAATCATCGAATAAAAGAATAACCTCCTAGCCTCACATGTATAAAAGAAATAAACCAACTTAAGAGGAAAGCACAATATAACAAGATTTTCAAATTGTGCCAGTTATGTAACTTATCAAAAAAAAAAAAAAAAAATTTGTGCCAGTCATGTCAAACATGTATTAACAGTATGATCAACAATTTCTTAACCCTGATGTAATTGTAGGTGTGAAACAATTATTCAAAATGGTAAGAAATTCGACAACTCTTATAAAGCATCTACAATGGTTGGTCAGCATATTCCATCTTAAGAACAAAGTTTTCAAAGCAAAATATAATTTACATTTGTAATATTAACGGATCAAAGAGAGCGTGCCCTCCATAACCAGAAGTAACTGATACTACCCAATCCATAGTCTGCAAACATCAAAATGTAGATGTAACAGGATTGAGCAATCAGTGTGATCAATACACGGTTATCGTTGTTAGTTATCCAAATAGCATTCCTACTTACAACTCCTATAACAGAAGGGAGCCATCCTTTGTACAAAGCACGAGGACCTTCTTCGCGAAGAACTGTGGAAAGAGCATGGGCGATTCCCCTATAGTGGCGAGGAGACTTATCTGTCTGCAAAAATACAAGAAGAAAAGATGAAACCATAAGATAGCTAAAATAGCTCAGCATGGTATCCATTCAGGACAAAACTGCACCACTTTGGTATACAGAAGGAAACGTTAGAGAGTACCTGGACAGTAAGCCGGCCTCGTACCATGTCCATTGGATAAGTTGCTGACATGGCAATAATACCAGCACATGCACCAGCTCCAAGGCGTAAAAGAGGAGTGAGTTCAGCATCCTCTGCAAGAAATAACAATGGCAGATGATAACAACCATCTAATGCTACTTTGTTTAAATTCAAACCTGATATTCAACAACATGACAATTTTTATAACCTGTGGTTGATTGTATAGTTCTTGTGTGTTCTTTCACTTGAAATATTTACATCTTCCAAGATTAGAATGTGGTGTGCGCATTCATTTGAAAGTTAAAATCAATTCAGTTTAATGTGTGAAATCTAAAGTAAGCACAACGTGTTTTAGTGGCACCAAATAACATCTTCACAACATTTGTACAAAAATGTGTAAGTTAGAAGTAAAAACATCTATGAACAATGAATCAACCCATTGTACTCTGCAAGGCATTTCAAATGAGCAATTCATAATTTAAATCACTTAAACTATTTGAAAAATAATCTTTCCCAAATCCATCTTCTTCAATCTTTTTACGACCACATTCCAAATTACCGCAATGGCTCCATTTAAGAAAGTAGTCTTTCGCCTTAAAAATTTTGGAAAACAAATGAACCACGTGAGCTAAAGAGATCTTAAAATTGCGACAAATGCCATTTTGGAAAACGGGGCAAATACAGTCACATACTACAAGGAATGTTGTTCGGAACTGTAGAAACAAATTGAAAATGGCTTGAATCAAATTAGGGGCAAAACTTAATCTTCAATAAGGTAATACGGCTGTGCACTTTTTAGCAACTTGCATGTGCAACATAACCATGAGTGCTGATGACCATATAAGGCCTGTAGAGACCAGTGTGTCACACTTTGATAGGAAATCATTGCAAACCAATAAACAGTAAATCTAATCAGTATGTGTGACAATGAATACGATATAACAAAAGTATCATAGCCCCGATAAAAGTTAAAAGAGCAACATACAAATAAGAGAAAAGAAAAGAACGACAGTCATACCATTTCCAGTTTGCCGTTTATAAAGCCATAAAATTTGCCTGTTTGATGTCAAACAATGAGTAAGAGGAAGAAAATATTTTGACAGTTGAATGTAGAACTAAGATGAATGGAAAGTGCAAAAGCAAAATAATGTTTTCCATTCAAATATGAATAAATAAACACATTACATGTTGATGAAGGAATGCACGTCATCACTAGTTTCAGTCTGAAGCTTGATAAAAATAAAAAAAAATTAAAAAAAATGCTCAATTATGAAAAAGAATCTTTGAACCAATAAATTGAGTGTGATCTATCCACCATATGACGCAACAATAAGCACTTGGTTGAGTAAACTGGAAAGTAATATCTTCCATTAAAAATTAAAATTAGTTTCACAATCAGACGTTCTGCTATGAGATTCCCAAGTGTTTCCAATCTGAAATAGAACATATATTTGTATACTCCCTTCATTGCCTCATATTCCAACATGCCTCGTGAAAGTCATATTCTGTGACCCCTTTGAATTGCCTTAGACAAAGCGACGCTGATATCAGATTGTATCAGGTTCTTAAGGACCAAAGTGGGTTGACAGCCCAGGTTTTCCGGAACTCTCTTGGATTAAGAGTTGGATTCTATCAATGTCTACTTCAAGATCTAGTATAATCTATCAATTCCCTTCTCTGTGCAGTGAGAGAGATGATGCATGGATATAGAATCATCGGAAATGTGTATGTTGGATGTGAGCTTGTTCGGCAAGGTTTTATATCAACAAGATAGGCAAAAGTTCCCTAGGGAGGTTAAAGTGCTATAAAGTTTTTTGCTTGAACTTCTGCCGTGGGACAATCTTAACTGTGAACAGTTAGGCAAGACTCAAGAGAGGGAACTATTCCCAAATTTGGTCGGTCTTGTGGTAAGAGAGGCTGATAAAACTACTAAATCACCCTTTAATTGTATGTCGCATAAGGATATGTGGTGCATGTCCTCCTCGGTTTGGAATGCATCATGGATATGCGTGGATCAGGGGAGGATCTTTTTGTTATTGGAGGAGGTTGTCCCAGCATAAGGGTTTTCAGGCTCAACAGTTCTGGTGTGTTTGAAAGGAACAAAGTATGCATACTTTTGAGGATGTGCAGATATGTTTATTCATAGAATTAAGAAACCAATGTTGATAACATGTCATTTTCAATGTCCAGATGATTCCAGATTCTTTACACTCTTTTGTGAATCTTATAAGAATTGTGAGTTGTGTTGAGGGAGATTGGTTTTGTGACATATATATTGTGTGCACAATCGTTGCTCTTAAAGGTGTAAGCGAGTGTGAACCTCTCTCTCTCTCTCTCTCTCTCACACACACACACACACACACACAAAGGTAGTACTCAGAACTTAAACACAGGTACAATTTTTTATTTTATTTTAAAGAGAAAAAGTTATTAGAGACTGTCAATTTTCATTGGTAGGATGAAAATCCCATGATAAAGGTATACTCTCTCTTGAAAAGGAAGTACTCAGAACCTAGCAATGGTATAACTTTTTATACAAATTTCATTGCATCAATGTGCAGGGCCATAGGCTATATGACTAGCAAAAATAATTGGTGGACACCATTACAAGTATTAGTTTTCAGATACAGGCCACAATTTCATTGGCAATAAAGTAACCTACATACCTTGGAATGATGGATGTTTTATACCCATGTAAAAGCATCATGGCAGGCTACTAAAATTATTCAATATGGGATTTCTCTTAAATTTTCATAAAAAAATAAATTTTCCAGCCTCTATCAACACAACCGACCAGAACCGATGCTTGCTCAGACTCTGTTCTGTTTCACTTGAACTGAACATTACAGCTCAAACTAGATCTCCAGTTGAGTGAGGTTCAAACGGGCTGTTAAATGAGCCAAGCTCGAGATCAATCCGCTCACAGGTGGCTCAGTTCATTTAACACCCCTTGTTGTGTACCCTCTGGTGCTTTTGTTAATAATACAAATATTTACTTACAAAAAGATCCTCTATATCATATACGACGGAGTAAGCTATCAGTCGCTAAAATAAAAATATTGGAAGTCAACAAAACAGTTTAAGTTTATACAAAAAATAATAAATAAAAGAAATGAAAAGGAAGCATAGAAACATACTTGGACGCTTCCTCGTAGCTAAAGAACTTCACTGCTGAGTTTGGGACAATCCGAGCACAATTGGTGCCATTGCCTTTGAATAATCCTCGGAAACCCTCAGTTCTCCAAATATATTTCAAGCCTTGGACTGTTCCATTGTATTTTATACTATGAGGATTTTGAACCTGCATTTTTCAAGACCAACTGATACATAATGTTTTCTCATGGAATCAGTAAAAACAAAATAAAACAGAAATAAAAGATAAAACATACTGATTGTTCACAAGATAATTTATACATGAATATCAAATTGAAATTCAGGTTGGAGCTTCTGACCATATAAAAAAGCATAAACTATCTTGATTGACATTTTTTTTTTCAGAGTATTCATTGAAAGGCACTCAAAAGGGGGAGAGCATCTTGCTTACAGCTGCGTGCACGCGCGCACACACACAAAACTAAATAAATAAATAAACATAACATCAGTCAAAGCCTTATCTCAACTATTTGGCAATGGCAACACGAGTCCTATTTTTCCATTCTGCTCTATATAAGGCCATGGTCTCAATAATATCACATGTTATCATATCCTTCCTTCCTTAATCTACAGTTGGAGCTTCTGACCATATAAAAAAGCATAAACTATCTTGATTGACATATATTCTTTTTTAGAGTATTCATTGAAACCACATGTTATCAACTAAATAAACATAACATCGATCAAAGCCTTATCTCAACTACTTGGCAATGGCAACATGAGTCCTATTTTTCCATTCTGCTCTAGATAAGGCCATGGTCTCAATAAAACCATATGTTATCATATCCTTCCTTCCTTAATCTACCCATGTTTAGTTTGGTCTTCCCCTAGTATTACAACAAGTGTACGACTGGTCTAATAGCTGTTCTACAGAACTTCCCTTTCAATCTTAAGGGAATAAGCCAATCTGGCATCACACAATATACTAGATGCACTCCTCCATTTTTGTACCTCTTGATTCTCAATCTTCACTACATCCTACATCCTCATTTTTATTTCTACATTTACCAAAGTTACACTCCATATGAGTGTTGTCTTCTTATTACTTTTGCATCTCTATGTTGATTGCTGAGTATTAACATTTGTAATGTTCTTATCAGCGATTATGTTTGTTAACTAATGCTCAAAAACTTCAGTTTATAACTTATCAAAAAAAATATCTTTGGTTTATGATTGATACAAATGTTAAGAGTATATATACTTGAGCTTATATTTTTTTTAATTTTTTTTTTATAAGTATACTTCAGCTTATATTTTTGTTTACATGTTTTGTGTAATGCGCGCCTGGCTTTTGTTAGGCCCGCGCCTAGCCTTGGACCTTGCGCCACAGGCTCCAGGAACCGTCCAACAAAAAGACCCAGATACAATGGCTTGGCTTCCTCAATGAACACTATTGTTGTCTGGTGGCTTTACCAACAAAAAGTCCGAGTTGTGTTGGTGCAGGACCATTTTCCACTATAATTAGAAAAGATGGGCAAGAACTTGAGAACAAGGATAGAAGACAACTTCCATTCGTTATCTATTTTGACTTACTTGGAATCCACTAAAGTCAGATCTGTTCAATCTCCCCTGGCAACTAGCTTTTCGCCCTTTCTTCGTTCGGCTCAACTGGATCCTGTGAGTGAATAAAGAATAAGCCTTTAACAACTATGGTGATGCCCAAGAAATGGCTGTTTGCTTTGTCTGCCACTGGTTCAATCCTCAACAAGCTGTCTCGTGTTAAGGTGATAAACATAAATTCCACACCAGTAAGAAAGGTAGGAAGGGCACTTTCAAATAATTTGTCATTAACAATGGTTGAATATGTGCAGCTACAATTTCAAAGATTGGTTTCCTATTGCTACAAGTGTGAACCATTTCGTGGTTAATTATAAAAGCATGGGCGCATCGCCCATCCGCCCATGTAACCAATATTTAAACTAAGTGCTTCACAAGCAGGAACAGAGATAATATTTTGCATCTGCATAAAATAGCTACTCCTTCAAGCTTCTTTTTTGCAGCATTTGGATGGTGAACTTGCTCCATTTCACTAACACGAGAAAATAGGACATTATAAAGGATTAAGTTAGACATCGTATAGTAAGATTTCAAATTTTCCTTCCCTCAGTTTTTTTTTTTTTAATAAGTTTTTCTTCCCTCAAATCTTGGCAACCAGATGCAGCATTAAGGAAAATAAAATTCCTATAGACTCATAAATTTCCCTCAGTTTGAGCATCCAAAGCATGGCCAAAACATGAGATTTCTCTAGTGGGCTGTTAGCAAAACATTTAATAAAACAAGCATTTCAACAATGGGCAAAATATGCATGATGCTGAAAGAAATATTGACAAAAACTAACTGAAAACAGAAAGCATTTCTACCTGGAGCAAAATTTTTAGCCGTTCTAATGGAGCAACAGCAGTACGTGACCTGCAATGTGAGGTACATAACATCAATTTAGTGCAGACAAACTGCTAGCAGAACATTTTACGCAACCTTATGAAATGCACACATCTACTAAAGGGTGTAGAAATAACTTAAGTCAGATTGAAATACAGAGGCAGTTTTGTTTAATAATTCTCATGTCAAGATCCAGGAAAAAGAGACTGGTTTCCGCTTCAATCTAAATGACCATAGTTAAAAAAATGAATCAAGGGACTGGTTACCACGTCAACCTAAATGACCATAGCTAAAAAAAAAATGAATCAAGGGACTTACCAATAAATAAAAAATAAAAAAAAAATTGAATCAGAGGGCATTGTATCAACTTTCAAGTAGTTTAAACATGGGAAATGGTACGTACTGTAACGGCACCTAGATCCAGTGAAAAGAAACCCAGGGCAATAAAAAAAATGATTGTGGAGGGTATAAGATGATGCATGAATGATTATAAGTAGGTCCATTGCAGATCAGGGGCAATAAAAAAATAAAATAAAATCAAATCAAATCAAAAAATCAAAAGAGATAGTTTAATTACAGAGGATCAATTATTCAAAGAGGGGAGACATTGAAGATGATAAGGCTCCTATATTGAATGGGGATGCATTAAATGGATAAATGATATTTGGCATATTGTGCAATAATGTGTACCTTTAAAATCGAATGTTAAATTCTGTAAAATAGTTGTTAGGCTAATCATACTTTATAACAAAATGTTAAGCAGCTAAGACACAAAATGGTCATAAGACAAGCATGACAAATCTACAAATGCTGAGTTGGATTTATGGTAAGATTAAAAAAGAAAAACATAAAATTATAAATGAGTACATTTCTGCGAGAAAACTAAAATGGTTTACCAATAATGCAACAATGAGGTTTACCAATAATGCAACAATAAGGAATAACAAATTAATCCACATTGAGTACAGAAAGGGAAATATCAAAATTAACAAGGGTTGAGATTGGTAGGAGTATATAGTAACACATGGTTCAATTGAAGTTATTGTATTAGACAGAGCATAATGAAAAGGCATGTATCACATAACCAATCTCAAATAATTGGGACAAGGCTTTGCTAAATTGAATTAAGTATGCCTCTTTGTTGAGTACTTCCTGTGTTACTTCTTTTGGCCAGTAAAATGCAAATTAAACTCCTACACCCACGAAAAAAATTGTAAGGACAGAACCTCTCCATGAAATATTTTACATGTGGCTCACAAAAACCTGAGATTTTCTAAATCTGTCATGATTATCATGTAATCTTTTCCTCTTAGGCCCTAAAGAAGCACCTCACGTTGCAGGGTGTTTCAGAACCATAATTTGTGGACAATATATTCTAATCCCCTGAGCCTATTAGATATCAACTGCTAGTCCTGCCAGAAGAGAGAAAACAGAACTAAAAAAAATGCCCCTGATGAATTGAATGATATAAAAAATTTATAATCATATCCCGTGTATTTCCCCCTTTTAAGCAGTTCCACTGCCCCTCCCCCACCTACTACTCCCTCTCACCGGGAAAAATAAAAAGGACAACAACAAAAGAATTGTAGAATCAACAAAGGGGCAAATAGATGTCTCACAAGTACATGTTTTTGGTTCGACACCGTGATTAACTTGAAAGTATCAACAATACTGGACAAACTTTGGAGTCTGAACATACCACCCCAGTACGCAAATAAAACACTGCAAGCACAAATGAACAAACAAAATGCTGCGCCAGCACCAAGTTGGAAAGTTGCCAAAATATTTAGGGTTTTAACTTTTAAGTCATACTCCCTCAGTCCCGAAATACATAACTGCTTTGGGAATTGTGACTCCCAAAAATGTGAGTATTTTGGGATGGAGGAAGTATCAAATTTCTTTTAATCCTGCTGCCAATATATACTCAAAAAGAACATGTAAAATAATGATACGGGTTTCTCTATGTTTTAAAAACACAAACATATCCCTAAATTTTTAATGAAAAAATAAACTCTTTTCAGTTGTATTTTCATTTGTAATAAATAAATTAATCCATATAGAACTTATTTTCATGCATTGCATTGCACAGCTTGCCAAATACTTGTAGTATAACATAAAAAATAAAAAAACATAAAAGAATAAATATAAAAAATAATTAAAAAATCCATCTGTGAAACTGGTTATTAAGCAAAGGCCTAAATATATCAAATTACCAATTAACCTTACAGATTGTTGAGGAAGGGTAAGTAAACAGCCTTGCTAAACAACAATGAAAACAATAACAATTGAACCAAATGACAAGTGAAAATTGATATGATAAAACCAAATTATATATAACCCTTAAATTGAGAGCCATCACAGTAATATACCTGGAGATCACACTCAATTCATAATATATAATTATCAAAAACACACATATATATTAAATAAGTGTATGCAATAACACAATCCATCATTCCAGATCAAACGAACACAGTACCAATACAAATACATAATTAACCATATCACGGTGAAATGAAAAAAGAAAAAGAAAAAATGAACTGAAAAAATCATACAGAAACAACAACAATATAAAACTAAAGTTGACATGAACCAGTGATTCAATTAAACGAACACACTAACTATCAAAATATATAATTAACAATGTCACAGAGAAATGAGAACAGAAAAAGGAGAAATGAACTGATAAATTCATACAAAAACAACAAAAATATAAAAACAAAAACAAAAATTGACATAAAAACCAGTGATTCAACCAAACAAACACAGTAACTATTAAAAATATATTTAGGCAAAATGAAAATAGAAAAAGATAAAATGAACTGACAATATCATACAAAAACAAACATATATATATATATATATATAATGAAAAATGATATAAAACACTGATTCAATCAACGAATAAAAAATTATATAATGAACCATATTACAGCAAAATGAGAAATAAAAAAAAATAAAAAAAGAAAAAGAAAAAGAAAAAGAAATGAACAGACAAATTCATACCAAGAAAAAAAAAAAAAAAGAACGAATAAAAATATTAATTAAACAAACATTGACATATACCAGTGATTCAATCAAATGAAATCATAAAACGATTCGACTATTTTGTGGAAATAGAGAAAATGAATCGACAAATTCATAGAAAAACAAAAATATAATATATATAACTCTAATATTGACATAAACAAGTGATTCAATCAAGCTAACACAGTATCGATCAAAATACAAATACATAATCAACCATATCACAGCCAATGAAAACAGAGACATATAGAGAGAAAGAGAGAGAGTAAACTGACACTCCTCCGGCGACTCCACCGGCGACGAGAGACTTGCATATGCTGAGTATGGCGTGACTCGGAGCCTTAACTCCCTCACTGGCGATCTTCGCTTCTTCGGCCAGATTGACGATCGTGGACACCGCCGTATCACTTGTCTTTCCTACGACATCTTCCGAAGCCATTCAAACCCTAACTCGCCGGAACCCTAACAGAAAGAAATCGCCGTCGTCAGATTTTCCGGCGATCTCTAGGGAATAAGGTTTGTGTCGTGAGAAATGGGTAACTGCAAGCAACGCAAACGGAAAATAGTAGAAATGATGGTTTGCTTGCGCGCACTTATTCCAATATTATCGTTTTAGAATTCAACGCTAACGGAGAATGACTTCTCACTAGGGTTAGCCAATTATTTGGGTTGGGTCAAACTTAAAGGCCGATTAAGCCCAAACTCGCCAATTTAATCCCACTTTAGGGTATTAGCAAAGTAAGCAATCTTGTCTTTTTAATCACTTTGTCAATTATAGCACATAATATGATATTATGCTTCTTTTTTCATTCAAAATTTTCGTAAGATATGTGAAAATATTTCACCATTTTTAAATTTCATCAATTTATTTATTTATTTATTTTACACGTGGTGTTTCATTGAGAAGTATAGAGTATGGATATGAACACATACGAAATTAATAACGCGTAAAATTTACAAATAAATTTAGAACACGAACACTGCTGCGTGAACACTGCTATATATTTATATAATTTTCATTTTTATCTATTGAGCTTGTAAGACAACTACATTCTTTAATTTATTTATACACTTAAAGTTTCATAAGTTACAAGTGCTATAAAATAAAATAAAATAATACTATATTATAGGGTAAACTGCAATAAAAAAAACTACTGCAATTTAAAAAATGTGTAAGAAACACCCTTTCCTTTTATAAAGTTTTGAAAATTTTGTAGCAAATTGCCCATTTGGTAATCAATTTTTACAATTTTTTGTATAAAAATTCCAAAATACCCTTAAAGGAATTTTAGGTGTTTCTTTTTTTTAATAAGTCAAAATAAATAAATTAAATTAATAAAAAAATAATAATAATAATAATTAATAACTAAATAAAAAAATTATGAATAAAAATTATAAATAAATAATAAAAATAAAAATAAAAAGTTTTAGGTCTTTTAAAAATGCCCTTATTTATTTTTGTATGTTTTTTAAAAATATATTTTTATTTTACTTTACTTTTTTTGTCTTAAGGGCATTTTAGGTATTTTACTTTTCAAATTGAAGAATTATTATTATTTGCTCAATTTGAAAAATGTATGATGATTTTTTTTAATACGAGGTGATTTAATAAGGGGTGTTTTGCACTTTATCCTATATTATATTATATATAATATTACACTTGTATCCTCTCATTATAGAGGTCCGAAATCCAATTCGAAATTATTCCACCATCAATTATGTGTTTTGCATTGTTGAGTGAACACCGTAGAGCCAAATTAGAAGAGGAAAACAATGTTTTATTTCTTTTTAATATAAAACCACTTCTCCTTAGTTGTAGTTTTCAAATTTAATATTATCAATACCACTGGTAATAATAAAAGCTAATTACAAAAATAAAAATAAAAATAGAAACCTCATAATATTATATAAAATTGCTGTAATAATAAAAGGTAATTATTTGCATATAAATTGTTATATTTGAATCTAAAGTTATATTTTAATCAATTAAAATAAATGCAACAATAGTTTGACTCTATGTATTGAATTAAATAAGGAGGAAGCACTTAGGATTTAAAGGGAGGGTAAATTTACTTTTTCTAAACAAAATAAATAAGGAAAATGAGACAAAGAAAATATATGTATATGTATATATATGGTAATATTAAAATTGGAAAACTAAAAATAGGAAGAGAGTAATTTTGCATTAAATGAATTGATATACATAAGTTTGGAATATGAGATTAAATTTAAAGGAAACTATAGAAAGTGTGGAGCAATAGTCACTGCTGTACTTATACATACTAATAAATTCCATTTTCAAGTAAAACGTTTTGAAAAATAATTGATTATGGTATGTAAAATATAAGGAAGTGAAATCCTTTACTTTCTTAAATTTGTTAAATATAACCCATTAAAACTCGTAAGTCAAATAATTCACTACTACTTAAATGATTTTTGAGAATTTGATATAGTTTTCAGAAAAGAGAAACAAATTATATGGTACTTCCTAGGTTAATTTCGGTGTGGCCATAATTAAACCAATGCATTCAATATTAATTAAGTCAATGGTATAATTAAAAAATCAAGCTTAGATATTTGTTACAAGGGGAGACTTGTTCCGATTATGATAAAAAGTGACACAGGTATAAATAGGTGGATATGCAGCATTATTCAACAGTTTGGACTTTTGGGTAAATAAGTAAGCACTTACTCGTTTGGTATCAGAGTCCTACTCAGTATTTGATCCAGTGTCACACCAAGTGCCCGACCCGAATTCGAAGGGCGTCCAGATTTTCACCCTTGGTAGGCAGAGTGGTTTGACCGTAACGAGATTGTTGCATGAGTTCGTGTGGGGAAGGATGTTACAAGGGGAGATGGGAACTACATCGGATCCGAATGGAAAGTGACATGGGTATAAATGGGTGGATATTCAGCACTGCCCCACAGTTTAAGCTTTTGGATAAATATGCAAACGTCCACCCGTTATAATTTTCCACTACATCATTGTAAGTTCGGTTAGTTAATTTTTTATTTTTACTTTTGTCATTAAATAAAAATAAAAGAAAATATTAAAAGGAGATGTAGAGAAGATTCTTGTTGGACATTGAGAAATACTCTAAAATTAATGTTAAGCTCTAATGATTGTGTGTGTGTGTATATATATATATATATATATATATTTGTGTAAATATGATGTGTCATATTATACGTAATTTTTTTTACTAATAATAAAAAAAATCGAACTAATTATTTTTAGCTCCGGCCTTATTTTATACCCTTTATGTAAATATATATCGGCCAATAACAATCAACCATGTTTCATTCCAAGACCCACATGACTTTTACAAACTTACTTAACATCTAATTTTTTAATAGAATGAGAAAGAAAGCGAAACTAAAAAAAATATGCTAATATAATTATATAAAAGAATTTTACATATTAATACACATTGTATTGATTTACACAAAAGAGATGATAAGATTACCCGAATTCAATTGTTTTGAAGATAGGTAAATCAATCATATAATAGTCACTTCTGTTTTTAAAAAATTTTGTTTTGAATTGCATAGAAGGATAGATATGTAAATCAATCATATACTGGTCAAATGAAATGAACAGAGAAGTAGACCTTGTTAAAATCTATCCATATTTTCAGAAGTAAATTGATTGCCACAAAACATGTGGTCCCATATTAATGTTTGAAGATTGATGTAGGTGACCCAATAAAATCAAATACAATTTTTCCAGCAAGGGTTTATCCTATTGTAGTACTGTCACCATCTTTAAGACTAAAATTGTGGCTAATCAAATTCACAGGTCCACAAAAATTTTGACACCTAAACTAAAAAGATAAATGAAATAAAGAGTTAGCTGAAATTTTGTCAATTTTTTAATATTTATCCATATGTCCTAATTTATGCCAACACAGCCACAAGAAAAGAAAATGCAAATAATATATATATATATATATATATTTAATGGAAAGAAAGGAAAAGAAACAATATACTCCTTGGGTGGGGGCCCAAGTTATAAAGCCCGACATGGCCCACAATTCAATTTTGGCCCAGCCAAAGCCCCTAAAAAAAACCCAGTTTATTTGTTCAGTTTCTATTCTTTGCTTGTTGGATTATGTTAATAAAGTAAACGTATACCTCTATGGTTGGGTATTTGAAATGGAACTTTATATATAACTCATTTTAATTTAGTGTGTGTGTGTGTGTATGTCTATTCGGGCCAATCCAACCAGATGCGGCCCAAAAGCCACTTGGATAGTGGGCTGGGCCTAGATGAGGATATGATTTTGGTCCTGAACCAAATTCATTGACCGATCGAGGCCTGATAGACTAGAATTGGGCCTCAAACACTTTAAGTCATGAACAAAATGAAGACTTAAAAACTTTTTTTATTTTTTGTTAAGAAACTCAAGCTCCGTTTGTTCCGACGAGAATTCGAAGTCTCACCTTTTACTTTGGGAGGTAGAGGAGGAGAAAAGTATACAATATTCCAGTGGTACTTACACGTGACGATAAATGAACATTAATAAACACTTTCAATTTATCTTGATACACAAGAAATGAGAGTTTTTCAACAAAAAACATAACCGTTATATTGGGAGGGGACACCACGTATAAAATATTCTTGAAATATTGTATACTTTCTCATATAGGAAATATTACTCTACTATAGTCTTTGATGATGATGTGTTATAAACTTAATGAGTTGAGATATAGACCCAAGAATAAGATACCATATGCACTAAAATGGTTGATAGGAGCATAAAAAGTTAAAAGTTAGCTTATGACACACATATTTCTAACTTATTATAAAATTATACTATGAATATGCTTTTCCTAAGGCCATAAGTTGAGACAGTGACTCTTCCCCATAAATGGGGTGAGATGTGTTTATAAATGAAAATGATTTAGGAGCTGATTGAGTATGACAGATCCAATTCTACTATGGAAAATGAAAATGCTTTTGCTGATGCCCATGTTTCCAATTGGATTTGTTCATATTCTATTATCAAAGTTTGCCACTTGTTGTAGATGCCTTTGTTTTTTATTTTTTTGAAAGGTGAATTCAATATATATAGATGCCTTTGTTGATTGATAGGGACATTGTCTCTTTTCTTCACCACTTCTTCATTTGTTTTGTGACAAACCAATCTGAAAATAACAACATTTGAGGAAATTCCAATTGACACTGTTGTATTAGGAAAATCTTAAATTTGGATTGGTAAATGATTAGCAGTTAGTTGAGAGCAGTTTTTAAAAATAAATGGGATTAATTTTATAAAATAAAGTATTTGTTAATTACATATTTTGGTAAAAAAATACTCACTTTTCTTCTATGAAATATTGAATTTCCGACCATCTATTTTGAAATGTGAGCAACAACTCTTGGTGGCCTCCAATTAGGGGTAGCAATTTGTGTTCATGGGTTATAATCATATCATGTCGATGTAAGGATATTTTACTCAACAGGTAAACCCAAACCCGAACCATTTAATAATCGTATCAAGAACGTTCAACACTAATCCGACCTGTTTATTAAACGGGTTAATTTAATAACCTGTTTATTAAAATGACAAATTTAATATTCAATCAAATAATAAATATTAGAAAAAATTTGTTACAATTAATCCA